ATAGTATCGAATCTGTTGAACTACTTTTACTTAGAGATAAAAGGTGATTGACTTTGATCAAAGTGCTCAAATTTCGTCATGAAATCTCTGTATTGATGTTTATAAAAAATATATAAAATTTAAAATTTATCAATAAAAAAGTACATTTAATAAGATTTCTTACAAGTTCAAGTATTTAAGTTTAAAAAAATAATTATTTTAAAGATTATGTTAAATAAAATAAAAATTTTTTTTTATTAAAAAAAAAAAAAAAGAAAATACACGAATAATAATACAATTGTAGATCGTTTATTTATGTAATGTAAAATATTAACTAAAATTAGAAACGACTAGATTAAAATCAGTTTGAACATTTTTGTATTAAAAAAAAATGTACATATTCTGGACATAAATTTTAATACATAATCCGGAAATTTTCTGTATTAGAAAAATAGACAAATAATTTTAATACAAATTCTGAACATATTCTGTATTAGAAAAAAAAATTATATTTCTTTCTGTGTATATTCCAGATGTTTGTAAATGTTTGAATAAGTCTAAACAGCAAGCTTGATCAATTTTTAGGACAAATAATGGTTATTTTCCGGACATTCTCTGATATACCTGGATAAATTCAGGACATTTTCAATGATATTTTTCAGACATTTATTTTTTATAGGGATAAAAAAAAATTTTTTTAAATTTATTCAAAAAAATATTAATTATAATAAAATAAAGTAATAACTTTTAAATACTTTTATTTGGTATTATTTTTATAAAGTATAGTAATTTCGTAATATACATTTATTTTGATACAATATTTAATAAATTACACAAATAAATATTCAAAAAAACAAAAAAAAATTTGAGAATTAATACAGTAATAAAAAGATATTACTCAACGAAAATTAAAAAAAAATCGAGAATAAAATTTATATATAAGTAAGTTGGATAAATAGAACATTTTTACTTAATGCGCAGTAATATATTTACTTTAACCAAAGTGGTCAAATTAATTTGTAAAGTTAAAAAAGTATGATAAAAGTTACAAAAAATTTATTTCTACACGAATATTAATCCAATTGAGATAAAATAATTAGATATAAATAGTATTAAACCTGCTGAATAACTTTTACTTAGAAATGAAAGGTGATTGACTTTGATTAAGTACTCAAATTATCCTATGAAGTTAAAAAAAAGGTCTGTACTATTAATAAATTAACAAAAACACATATTACAACACGAATATTAATCCAATTGAGATTAAATTTTATATGCAAATATTATCACACCTGCTGCACAACTTTTATTTAGAAATAAAAAGCAATTGACTTTGACTAAAGTGCTCAAATTTCCTTGTGAAATCAAAAAAAGTATAATTCATTTAGTAAAGTTACAGAAAAAATTATTACTGCACGAATATTAAACCAATTTTTGATGAAAATTTAGATGTAAAAAGTATCAAATCTGCTAAAAAACTTTAATTAGAAATGAAAGATACTTTATTTTGACCAAAGTGCTGAAATTTCGTTATGAAATCTCTATATTAAAGTTTAAAAAAAAATATAAAAATTAAAATTTACATAAAATAAAGTACATTTAACAAGAGTTCTTACAAATTCAAGTATTTAAGTTTAAAAAAATAATTTTTTTAAAGATTATGTTAAATAAAATAAAAGTTTTTTTTGTTAAAAAAAAAAAAAAAAAAAAATAGAAAATTGATTATAGTATACACGAATTATACAATTGTAGATCATTTATTTATGTAATGTAAAATAAAAATATATACTAACTAAAATTAGAAAGGACTAGATTTAAAATCAGTCTGAACATTTTTGTATTAAAAAAATATACATATTCCGAATATAAATTTCAATACATAATTTAGACATTTTCTGTATTAGAAAAATAGATGCATAATTTTAATATAAATTCTAAACATATTCTGTATTAGAAAAAGATTAAATTTCTTTCTGTACATATTCTGGATATTTCTATATAATTAAATAAGTCTAAATAGTAAGCTTGATCATTTTTTAGGACAAATAATGATTATTTTCTGGACATTTTCTAATATATTCGAATAAATTCTGAACATTTTCATTGATATTTTCTGGATATTTTTTTTATAGAGTAATTGTTTTTAGACCCTTGCTTTTTATCTCAAACTTTATAATCCTAAATATATACTTAATTTAGCTTTTCCTCATTATAAAGTTTACTAATTTTGTAATTTACAAGATCAAATAAATTCACCTTTTAAAAATACATAAAAAAGTTGATGTTAAGTTTAATATTAAATAAGATCACATAATTTCATACTTACCTTTTTTTAATCTTGAATTTACAAGACTTCTGTTGATCTTAGCATGAGGTATCTTTAGCAAAATAAAAATAAATATAAGTATTATAATTTAAAAATTTTGTAGAAATGAAAAGCAAGTGATATAAAAAAATGAATGATGAATTGATCAGATTATTTTATTATTTTTTTTTAGATGAATAAAAAAATTGTATTTCTCGCACTTTTTAAAATATTGTTAAAGATAAAATATAATAATTTAATAGTAAAGATATCTATACGTATAAGACATATAAAATAAGAATTATATAATATTAATGTAAACTAATTAACATTAGTTTATTATTTATTAAAAAGTTAAAAAAAATTATTATTTTTTATCAAACTTTAATTCAAGTTCTTTAACTTTTAATTTGTAAATAAACTCTTTTTCCATCCTTTCTATTTCTAATTTAAATTTAAACTCTTACTCCTTTTCAAATTTTTTTTATCCTAACTTAATCTTTTATGTTTTATACTTAACCTGGCTGCTCTTTTTTCTTGTTCTCTTAAACCTCTGATTTTCAATTTCTAAACATTTTAAGCTATTGCTATTGCTAATTTTTTAGTTTTTTTTAAAGATTTTAATTTATCTAAAAATAATTGCTCAGTTTCAGAAATTTTTCTTTTGATTTTGATGTTATATAATCCTTATCATTACTTTCAACTTGCTATTAATAAATAAATAATTTTAAAATTAGGATAAATCTAATTGTAACAACCTGTTATATGTCTTATTTATAACGCCTAAAATTTTATACAATCAAAATTTAAGATCAGTTGTAATGTCATTAATTTAGCAAATCAAAACAAAAGATTAGTTATATAACGAAAATAAGAATTTTTTTAAAAAACTGTTTGTAAATAAAAATTTGTCTATAAAACTGTCTTTAATATATTAAGTAAAAGTTTTTTAAATTAAATTTTGCATTTAAAAATCATGATTATAAAATATTAATAAAATAATTTATTATTAAGAAAAATAAAAAAGGGTGTTACAAATAAGACATATAATAAATTGTTACAAAAACATTTTTTTTTAAAATTATATAAATAATAAATTTAAAAAATTTAACTTATTATTATCTTATCAATACTAGATACAATGTAATTCTTCTTGACATTCTTTCTATTTCCAAACAACTCATTCATTTTCTTTAAATATAGTTATTTTGATCTAGCTTTTCCTGTTTCTTCTTTATTTCTTTCTCATATCTAGTTCTGAGCATATGTATTTTTGAATTAACTTGAGCACTAGTTCTATTATTACCAATTTTTATTACAGTTTTTGCATAAAACTATAATTTAATTTTTTGATATAAATTAAAATTTTCTGCAAAAAATAAAGCAAAACTCTTGTCTCAGATTTTGACCAATATTTTGAATTTAAAATAGCTTTATTATGATCAGATTCACTTTCTATAATTAAAACTTTATTTTCAAAACGTGTTTGTGAGTAACTATCATTTTTATCTTGAGAAAATAGTATGTAAGGCTGGGCAAAAAAATTTTAGATTCTCATGAAATAAAATTTTAAAATTAATACGATCACCCAGTTTTTTTTATATATAAAATTTTTTTATTTATATTATGCAAATAGTAAGATAAATGAAGGATATTACTATTATTGTAGTGAGTATTATATAAAAGTTTCTGATGAAAAACATGCTAAGATATTAAGTTTTAAATAACAAAAAAATCACAAAAATGATATATTAGTATATGCTATTACGATTTTTCATTATATAAAGTCTTAATAATAAAAAATTTTACTATAAAAAAATCATGAGTTTTTGTAAAAATTGAGGCAGTTAAGTCACAAAAATCTAAAAAATTTTTGCCAGGCCTAATGAATAAATTTATTTAATGTATAGATGATTTGTTTCATTTCAATATTTTTTTTGATTTTAAAATTTGAAAGAAAGAATTTAGTAAGTGGGAAACTTTATTGTTTAAATTATTATCATTATTATTTAAACTCATGGATATCTAAATTAAGTATTCTAGAAATTCTGATGGTCACTAATATCACTGACCTAAAATTTATCTAATACTTTTAAACTAAAAAAACCATTTGTTTATATATATTCTAAATATAGATTTATAATATATGACTATTAAAAAGGCCCTTTAGTACTAAATCTAATTGTCTTGAATTGGCATTCTATGTCCTTTAGATTACATGATTGTTTTATTTCAAAGATTTTAAGAATTTGCAGTTTAAATAATTGATTTGAATACTCATAGATAGCCCTATTTTCTTACATATTAACATATAATTTCTCACTTTTTTTAAATTCCCAGATGCTGAAATTAGTATTCAGTATCATTACTTTTCAAATAGCTCCTTTTACTTTAGTTTCAATATTCAAACTTACTTGAATTTCTTCCGTGATGAATCTCAAAATAATTGCTTTCAGTTTTGTCCAAATATCTCTGGATTGAATGATCAAATCAGGATGAGAAAGGATCAACACTAACTCTTACCTACAGCTATTATGCCAGAAACTAAAGCAAATAATTATATCAAAAAAACTTCTTACGTTTCAAAAAATAACAAAAGAGTCCAACAAATAACAGTGCTAGACATTTTACTAGCTCTCTCGTAGAAATAAACAAACAAACTTTATTAGAAACTCTCTTTACAAACAATAAAAAACAAAAAACAACTACTGAAACTATGGAAATTTCTTTCCCAAAAGTTATTAACGAAGTTATTGAAAACATTATCCTGTCTACTGACAATAATAACCAAAGACTTTTCAACACTGGAAAAGATAATACAACTAATACTTTCAATATGAAAATAGATAACATAGCTTTCTCGACTTCTAACTTTACAGAAAAAGTACAAATTATTCCTTTCTAAACTGCAAAAGACTCTATGCATACAAAACAAATAAATAATACTAACGAATCAAAATCAACGAAAATTTCATCTACTTCTAAAGGAAAAAACAAACAAACTTGGTTAGATAAAATGGATGAAACTGAAGCTTCTACTTCTAATGGCAAGAACGCGAATGATCAACAATTCAATATTATTACTGCGCTTATTAGATTTTACGTCACTGACAACGTAGCAAATATAAAAGAAAAATCTGTCACTGAAAAATGAAATTTCATCAATGCACTTTTTATTCACTTTAATGGTTTCCAAGAATTAAACTATCTTCTAAAAATAGAAAATTTATCATTTATTTTGACAGTTTAGAAAACTTAACACATGCTATTACAAAAGTACAGGAGACATAACATAATCCAGTCTTCCTGGTTGCTGATCCTAATGCCAAACAACTAAAATTAGATGCAGAAAAAGGTTGCACTATCAAAGTATCAGACATTCCCCTTTTTTTTAAGTCTGAAGTCATACGAAATTTTTTTGACAAATTTAGAATAATCACTCGTTTTTCTATGATTGTCAGGGGATCCTGGCAGATTGCATTTATTGTATATGAAAATAATGACGATATCAAACAATTTTATAATAAAACTTGGTCTATTTCCTTTTTAGAATTCGCTTTAAGAATAGAACCTACTGATCTTAATCTAATATAAATCACATTACATTAACAATTTGAAATTAAACTTACTGGACTCCCATTATACACTGATCAACATTCCTTACAAGAATTTTTAACTCAAATTAAAGCTAAATCATGCTTCATTCCAAGAGATTAACAATATCGATTAAGACCTTATGCATTCATTAATTTTGCTACTACAGAAGATTTAGACGCTGCTACCGCTCAACATCACAAATTTAAAGAAAATGTTTTATACTGGATGGACCCTGCCGAGAAATATTGTAGGAAATGTAGATCACCTGATCAAAAAATCAAAGATTACTCAAAAAGAAGCCTTACTAATCCTTATAAACCTCTTTATGAACGCTTTAAACTTGAACAATATAGACTTTCTCATCCTCGTCAAAATTTAAAATTTCAGAACAATTTCTCTTATGCTGATGCTATTAAATCCAAGCTAAATATTAATAATACATCATCACCTCTCAAAGGAAACATCAACAGAAACTCCAATAATTCTTCTAATACAGTTAATGCTATCCAATCTTTAATAGTCAGAATAGATGACATTAACAACAAACTTGTACTTCTTTCAGATGAAATTATTTTTATTAAAAATGAAATCCTTCAACAACATCATAATCAAGGTGATATTGACTACCATCTTTCTAAACTTGAGATATTTACTCAGATTCTTGATGACGATGATAAAGAACTATTAATGAACATAGGTGACAAATAAATCTAATATATACTTAAAAATACACTTACAAATGATAAACAACCCTTAATAACAGATAAACCTAAAGATACTGTCCAAGACACTAATATTGACAATATTGGAACACTACAAAAAGATGAAATTGCTATTCTACGTATCACACAGATTGAACATGAACTTAAAAATCTCAGATCTGAACTTAAATCAATCTTATTAGCATTACGCCAAGCTTTACTTACGATTAACTTATCCTAATGATTAATAATAATAAATCATATAATATCATAGGAATAACTTCATCGTATTCTACTAATAATACTAATTATAATACAAATGCTTCTTCCTCTTCATTACATAATAATCCAAACTTTCTCTTCATTATTACCCATAATATTAGAAACTGTTCTGCTGATAATAAGTTACAACAAATAGAAACCTTTTTCACAAAATTAAATTTTGATATAATGGGACTTAGTGAAACTCATCTCACATACAATCAAACTTGTTTTCTTAACAAAAATAGTTACAATAAACAGTACAAATTTTTCTTTCATAGTGATAAAGGTCAGAACCAGTTATCAATATCAGATTTATAACCGATGTGACGGGTAAAATTTTAGATAGATTTAATTGGTAGACTAGGAAGTCAATTTTATTGCCATGTAAATCTTCTATGAAGATCATTTTATCCATTTTATTGCCGTCGATCAATTATGTAAATTCTTAGATGTCAATTTTATTGCCTTTGATAATCAAGATGTCTATTTAGTTGCCTGCAGATCTGGCAATTTTATTGACACAGCAACTTTATTGCCTAGCAAAATGGCAACTTTATTTCCT